TTACCGTGGCTTGTCAAGATGTCTGTAACGAATATTATAGCGATTCGTTGTGAATGAAATTGCAACGGGATTTGAAATTAACATTCAGTTAAAGAATGTATACAGTCAGTCGAATAAATATTCATAACCTTTATGTCTATTGGAGAAATGTGTTTAAATTAACACATTAACTGGCAGACTAATATTCTTGATCATTTCTACCGTGATTAAGTTTCGCTTCCAGACTATAGGAAACTGCATAATCAAAAATTTATGTATTATTTAGTTTCATAGCTTCATCGAAGCTTAAGAATTTTATTCGAATTTATTGTCTTTGATACTTAACATTCAGAATTACTTTTGTTTGTTCGTCAGTGTTAAGTACTGTCATCCATATATGGGTGACGTATACAGGCTGTTCCAAAAATGTTGGAGGTCCTGGTGTGTAGATTCGCTCTAAACTTACATGTGACGAGGAGGCAGGTTGTGCAACGGTAGAAACGGAATACCGCTGTGTTTGGGCAGGACGTTGTTTATGCGAAACGGTCAGCGCAGCGAGTTACGATGCCAGCGGCTCGTTTGATAATTCGATACCACTTTTGCACCTCGTGTCGGACGCCGCACTCTCTTTCTTTCCGCGTCTGCACGCGCGCGCCGCTCCGGTCCAATTAAATTTATCTGGCTGTGTTTTCGACCTCGGGGAAAATACGAGCTGGGATCCGTTTGCCATAGAAGAGGAAAGGAGACGCGAGAGCGTGCGAGAATGCAATTAGAATTCTCTTTTCGTGTCTTGTTTTATTTTTTTTCCGACAGTTTTCAAAGCTCGCGGTTCGTTCGTTTCGAATCGCGTTGATTGACGCGAGCGTCTAGCCCGCGGGACGATTCAATTTAATCGAATAACATTCCTTTATGCCTTTTGAGAACTAATGCTCGCGCTTGTGGATTGGATTAGCACTTTCGATTTTTGCTGGGTAACTTCGAAGCGGAAGGGTTGGTATAAGTAAAGAAGGTTTGGTGATTGTTTTGTATGATGACGGAGTTAGAATTATTATAGAACCCTAGATGGCAGTATCATCGATGGAGTACTTTACATTATCGGCAAGGCAGGTTACTTTGCCGATCGTGTGCTCTACATTATCGAGGCTTATCGACAGGCGTGGAGCATTACCGATAGATTATTTTAGTTTACCAACTGGGTATATTGTTTACTCGTTACACTTCCTCGTTTAAGACAAAGAACCTCTGCTATTCCAGCATCACTATGAATTTACATTCTGGGAAGAAAATATTTAATTTATTAATAGTAATTTATTGAAGAAGTAACATATTATCGATGGAGTACTCTACATTATCGACAAGGCAGGTTACTTTGCCGATCGTGTGCTCAACATTATCGAGGCCTATCGACAGGTGTGGAGCATTACCGATAGATTACTCTAGTTTACCCACTGGGTAAACTAGGTTAATAGCAATTTATTGAAGAATATAAAATATAAAATATAAAATATAAAATATAAAATATAAAATAT